GTCCAAACATGGGACACTCACCTCTTAGATAGCTTTCTCACCACATCAGCTCAAAAAGACAAGCCAAGCTCGTTCATTTTTTACTGACCACAGGACGGCACGACAGGAGCATTTGAGCTACACCTTCCATCCTTTCACTAGTGGAAATTGGTCTCTGTGGTGCTCAAAGTCACCGTGTTTTCTTTGTCCAGTGCACTCAATAGAGTAGCCCAAACCTTCAAGCAAAAGCCTGGCCAGACCCCAGGGCACAAGTCTTGTGCCCACACTGTTTTCCTGGGGAGCATCATCCTTGGACCCGACTGCACCTGGGGTCACCAGCACAGGCTTGGGCTCACACCAGCAGTCCCCAGTCAAGGAGAGAGCAGAACATTTGCAATCAAACATCGCAAGACTGGAGCGCAGTGCAGAGCAGGGGGGCGGGGCAGGCAAGCTGTGCACACAGGCCACCCCAAAGAAGGGAGTCCAGAGAATGTCAGGAGCCTCTGATGGGGGTGGGTGGGTGGAAGTGAAATGCAGTCAGGCTGGCGTCCTAGGAGCTACCTTCCCAAATCTCTTAGGCTCACCATAGAGAAGCACCCCCAAATGATGCCACACACTGACTGGAGCCCGAAACAAGTTTCTCTGCCTTCCACTTCTGTGCAATGATAGAATCGGGGGTCAAGGAGGTTTGGAGGAAAAGGTCTGCCTGCCATGATCCATCCACCCAACCAAGCCCACCATTAGGTGAGTCTGGCACATGGTGACCCTGAAGAGGTGAACTGCTGTGGAAGCTCGCAAATCCACGCACATTCATTGTAACTTGCTGAACAATCTCTTCCTCTTGGCAGTGGGAAGTGGCAAGGTTCAGAGAAACTGTTCAGCGGTGCCCCTTCAAATGGCACATGTGCCCCTCTCTCTGCTATCTTCCTAGACGTTTCAAGATTCACAGCACAGGAGCGGGGAGACCTCTATGTCCATATCAAAGGGCAGAGCCCTCAGACAAGCCAGCCACAGACAGAAGTCAGCCTTGCCTAAAAGAGAAGTCATTCTTGGGAGAGGAGATAATTCCTGGCAGATGTTTTATACAATATCATGTATCAGAGTTGAATCCTTCCGCTATGTTTATTCAACCTGTATTTTGAGCACATCGTCTGAGAAGTTTGGCCAGATGAAGAAGGATGTGGCGTTGGGATCAGAGGAAGGCTACGAACAGCCTACACTGTGCAGATGAAACAACTGGGCTAGCTTAAAGCCAGCAAGACTCGAGGCCCTTGCTGAGGAAAATCTAAAAGTCGTCAGTACGAGGGAAACTTAATGTAAAGAAAACCAAAATCCGCACAACAGGACCAATACAAGACGAAACATCGCGACAGAAAGGTTGAAGTTGTCAAGGGTGCCATTTTGCTTGGATCCCCAGTCAGTGCTTACGGGAGCTGCAGCAAGAACCCAGGCCAATCTGCCACACACGACTGCTTAGAGCAAGGATGTCACTTTGAGGACTGCACTGTGCCTGACCAACGTCATGCCTGGTCTTTTCAATGGCTGCCTGTGCGTGTGAGTTGGACATCGAATAAGGAAGACTGGATGCATTTGAATCGTGGGCTGGCAGGATACTGAGAGCCCCAGAGACCGCCAGAAGAACAAAGCAGCCTGCCTTTAAGAAGTCTAACAAGAATGCTCCTTAGAAGCAAGAGTGGCGAGACTTTGTCTCACGTACTGTGAACATGTCAGCAAGAAGGACTGGTTCTGGAAAAGAACACTTTGTTTGGTAAAGTAGAGGGTTGTCCAAAAACAAGGCCCTCGGGTCAGAGAGGAGACCCAAAGCCCATCTGTAGACAATTGGACATCCCCTCACAGAAGGGTCACAAGGAAGGGACGAGCCAGCCAGGGTGCAGTATGCACTGAGGAAACATACAACATTCCTCTAGTTCCTTAAAGCTTCCTCCAGCCCCCTATCATGACCCCAGTTCTACCTACAAATCCAGCTAGACCAGAGCATGTCCACTGGTACAGATGAGGGCTCCTGACACAGGGAATCCAGGACAGATAAACCCCTCAGGAACAGTAATGGGAGTACCAATACCACGAGGGTAGAGGGAACGTGGGGGGAGAAGGGGAAGAAAGGGGGAACTTTGATACAATGATCTATGTATAAACACCACCACCACCCCACCAGGGGGATGAACAACAGAAACATGGGCAAAGGGAGACATAGACGTGCGTGAGATATGAAAATAATAACAATTTAACGTTTATCAAGGGTTCATGAGGTTGGGAGGCTGGGGGAAGGAGGGGGAAAAGAGGAATGGATACCAAGGGCTCAAGTAGAAAGAAAATGTTTTGAAAATGATGATGGCAGCATATGTACAAATATACTTGAGTTCATTGATGTATGGATGGTGATAAGAGCTTAAGAGCCCCCAATAAAAGGATTTATAAGAAAAAGAACAACAAGGCCCTCCAGGAGATGACTGACACAGTGGCTGCAGCAACAGGCTGAAACATAGCAATTGTGAGGTCGGTGCAGGGTCAGGCTGTGTTTGGCTCTGTTGTACATTGAGCCACTAGGAGTCAAAACCAACTCCACAGCCTTTGACAACAGCATAATGCCGTCTGGGAGGGTGGGGGGAGAGAGTGGGGGGGCTTCCAGGTCTTTTCTCTCTGCTACCTCTCTAGAACTCCCATCAGTGTGAAATTGTTTATCGTAAGTTGATTCTCAATTTGCCATTTATCTTTTTCTTCCTGTTTTTCATTCCTGAGTGTTCCTATCCTATGTATAGCGCCAAGCCCTACCTAGCCAGGAGAGACCCCCGCCTCTTTCCATCACTCATTCCATCTTCTCACAGAAGGGTCTCTCCAGAAAGAAGATTCAATATCGCTTCATTGACTTCTCTGCGTTTCATATGTCCTTCTGAGAACGGCAGGTGCCATCTCTTTCCAAAGAAACATAATTTTTAGATGAATGTTTTAGGGGGTGTGCGGTGCTAAGAGCATGACCTCTCAAAACCTGTCATGAATCGAATTGTTTCCCCTCCCAAAATACGAGTCCACTTGGCTGAGCTGGGATCCTCAGAGGTTTTCCAGTTATGTCATGATGCGACCCATATCGGACTCTGGTTTGATCAGCAAATTAACGATAAGAGGATTAGGGTGAGATGCAACACCCTTACTCAGATCACAACCTTGATCAAATGTACAGGGATTAGAGTGGGATAAGCCAACCAAGCTCATTGCCATCGAGTCTATTATGAATCATAGCGACACTATAGGACAGCGTAGAACTGCCTCTGTGGGTGTCTGACACTGTAAACCTTGACAGGTATAGAAAGCCTCATCTTTCACCCAAGAATTTGCTAGTGGTTTTGAACTGCTGACCTTCCGTTTACCAGCCCAACACATAACCACTACATCACCATGTGACACTTTTAATCAAATCAAAGCTCTAAGGCTTTAAGGAACGTGTCCTTGAGGTGCGGCCGGCAACACCTTTTATTGGCAAGCTCAAACTCTCTGCCATCCATTGATCCTGACACTTAGCGACCCCGTAGGGCAGAGTAGACCTGCCTCCTTTGGGTTCCTGAGACTTTAAATTTGTATAGCCTCATTTATCTTCTGCGGAGCGGCTGGTAGGTTCAAACCACTGACCTTGTGGTTAGTAGCTCAATGCATAGCCCACTATGCCACCACCAGAGCGCTGCTACCTTTTATAAGAGACAAAACGAGAGAGAAGCCGCAGAGAGATGGAGGGACCTACTACCGGGAAGAAAAGAAGAGCCGGAGAAAGCCTGTCCCTGCACTAAGAACTTCTAGATCTGGGACAAGAACAATGCCAACACATGGAGATCTCCAAGGGATGCTGGACTTAGAGATGCTGAAAGGAGATCTGGACCACTGTGGTCATTACATAACCTGGTGTCAAGCTTGAGACTATTGAGAGTGAAGGGGTGGAGTTTAGCCTGTCAATCAGATCGCAGTTTGATGACCTCATTTGGAGGTGCTACAGAGATAAACAGCTTGCTGGAGGTGGAACACACACTCTCTGCGAGACATGCCTGCTGACAAGACACATGGAGCTACGCTGATGGCATACGGAGCCTTGGAGGTGGAAGGCCACGTGGAGACTCCTGCCAGTGCTGAGATGTCTCTACTGCCACTGGACCCACAAGACCTTCCACCCACTGGCCTGTGATCTTCCTGCATTCGGCGTCATTGCATGTACTGCGTGAGTCTAAAGAGGAAATGTATAGACTGGTGTTGTACATATGGGCTAATAGCGGACTTATGGACTTGATCTGCACTGGGCTGTGATGTTTTCTCGAGATACAATTGCTCCTTGATATAAAGTTCTCTCTAACACATATATGAGTATCTATGAATTGGTTTCTCTAGTCAACCCAGGCTAACACAACCGTCTTCCTTAACGGTTAGCCAACAGAGAGAGAGAATCTACCTCTAGCGCTGACACTGTGCACACAGGCTTCTTGGCTCCTCCACAGTGAGGGAAGCGTTTCCTGTTTGTTGAAGTTGCCCATCCACTTGTGCGATTTCTGTTTTAGCAGCATGAGCGAACTACGGCAGAGCCTGCCTACGTTTGCAATTTACTAGCCATTGACCCTCTGAGTCTCAGCTTCCTCATCTGTCAAATGAGAACAATAAGAGTGCCCACCTCATAATTTGACGTGAGGATTACAGACTCTCACAGAACAGGGATGGCAAGGAATACCAATCCGCAGTATCTGCTATTGTTAAAGGCATGCCGTGTTTCAATAGCATAATAACGCTGCCTCAACATTTAGGTGAATTTTATCTCTCAAGTGTGAAAGGAAGCTTTCTCACAAGAGAACTCCCTGTAACTTTAGAAACCATGGAGAAAGGGAGAGGTAGAAAAAAAATTGGGGTGGTGTGAAGTGTCTTGATTTTCAGAACAACAAAAAGAAAATAAATCTTTCAAACTGCACTATCAACATAGACAAAAAAAGCAATACTTCCCAAAGAATTATTCCCTTTCTCCCACCCTACAGCAAACCAACAGAAACGGACAAAAACCCGCCTCCGTCCAGCCCATTCCAGCTCCCAAAGGGTTCCCTTCAGGATGCAGCGGAACTACTCCATTGGATTCCTGAGACTAGATCTTGACGGGAGGCGCCTGGGATCCCAGGTAGGAAACATCCTCTGGTCTCTATGCATGTACCTGTTTCTGTCATCTCGCATACGTGCAGCCTTTGGCCTTTTGTAAGTTGCTTATTTCACTCAGCACATTGTCATCCATGGCCATGAGTGCCTAGCACGCACCAGGACTTCCTTTCTCTTTATGGCTGAACAGTGTTCATTCCACGTGTGTAGACAGTACCTTGTGGTTCTCCATTCATCCATTGACGGGCACCTAGGTGCTTCCCATCTTTTTGCTACCGTGAGTAGGGCTGCCATGGAAATAGGTGCACAGACCTGCCTGTCTACAGGGCTGCTCTCAGGTCCCTGGGGCATCTACGTAGGCATGGAATTGCTGGGCCAAATGGTAGCATTTTAACTTTTGAAGAATCACCTTCCTGGTTTCCAGAATGATCGTACCACTTACATGTTGACCAGCAGTGGAGAAGTTTCTGATTCCCCCATATCTTTGCCAGCTCTTGTAATTTTCTGGTTTTATAAAAAAATTTTTTTGATGATCATTGCCATCTTAGTAGGGGTGAGGTGGCATTTCACTGTAGTTTTGACTTGTGTCTCGTCAATGCCCAAGCATGAGGAGCATCTTTGCACGTGTGTTTGTTCTACAGCGGTGGGAAAACCGGCGCCGATTCTGGGGGATGGTTACACAGCTTGACTAATGGAATGGATATCATATGGCACACACCAGAAGGAGTGTGAAGTGGGAAGTGTGTTGGCTATAATTTTTGCAACAGCAGCGAGCCAAAGGAAAGAGCGATCCAAGGGGAGGCAGTTGCTGACACTGCTTAGGGAAAGCCAAACACCTCCTGCGACGGGTTCTCTTGGCTTCAAGGTTTAGGGTCAGGTCTCTGTGGGACTGTGCAACCAATTGATAAAGACTGTTTCTAGAGCTTCTGTTCTAAACCTGTGTTTGGCGAGGAAAGTCTTGAGAGCAGTAACTCCATAACATAAACGAGTAGTAGTTTTATAGGTTAATTAAAACATTTGGGAAGAATAAGAAAAAAGTGCGTCGAAAACTTATTAAATCAATCAATAAAAGTATAAATGTAGAAAGTTGTAGGTATCAGAAGAAACAGCTCAAAGAGCAGAAAGTAATTATCTGGTTGAGCAGCCATCGGAATGAGAAATAACGAGGAAGCATTTTTCATTATTAATGAGATTTTATTATTATTTAACTTTTCAATATATATGCATGTATTTCTTGGATTAAAATGAAAATTGATTTTGAAATAAAACTAGAATCACATGACAGCTACAAGGAAGTTAACTTAGGTTCCAGGTGAGAAAGAACTTTCGAGTACCTAAAATTAGCCAACAGTGGTACTGGCTGCTCCTGTAGATAGTGAGTTCCCTGTCATCAGAAGCATTTAAACAGAACGATTTTTCCACCTGTCAGAAATAAGGCAGCGGTCCCAGCTTTGATTCGGAAGTTAGACTAATCGGCCATTCTGATCCCTTCCATATCGAAGACCCCTTACACTTCTACGCATCTGTGGCAGCTACAATGTTATTATCATTTATCTCCTAAGTAATTAATCCATCGTTAACCTTAATAAGCATTTGTGAGTACCTATTTGTTTCTGGGAAGCCCACAGGGGCAGTTCTACTCTGTCCGATAGGGTCACGATGAGTCAGCATCAATTGGATGGCAGAGAAAGAAAAGAAAACAGTTTTCTAGCACTGCAGTAGTTTGGATTGGAAATAAGGGGCGGAAGGGGGGGCGGCTACTGAGATAGACTGCTATCCTGTCTGCCTACAAGGGTCCCTGAAGGCCGGCCCTGGAAAGGCCCTGAGCAGTCAGCTGATCCAACCCATCAAGAAAGGAAACAGGTCCTGAGCTCACATCCAGCTCTCTGGATTCCTCCGTCACGGCTCTTTCTCTCACAGGCCTGTTCTGAAGAGCACTTTCTTGTTTAAAACACAAAACAAACCAACGAAAACGAAACTTCTCCACGGTATTTTACTAATCACAAACACACCTCATCGCACAAGGAATTTCCCCCTTTTGAACTGTACCAAGGTTTGACTTCCCGGGTACCTGCTTCAGAAGGGCACGCAGTGAGCCTTCTAGAGGTACGCAGTCAAACTTCAGTGAACCCAAGCCGCCAAGTCAGTCACCAGAAAGAGCTAAACCAACAGAAATCAAGCGAATTGGCTTGGCTTTGTCTCACCAGCTCGTGAAATGCGTGAGAATGCTTCAGTAGAGAATTACCGCCTGTGTCATGGGTAAAATCCCAAATCATTTTGTGGAGTTTGTTACCGTTCCAAACGCGAGAAGGTGCCAACACCTGCATGTCCCAACATCTGTCCTATCGCTTCCTGGATCCTGGGGCTTGATTGGGTTGTCCTGTCCTGTCTTTGCCAGACTCTTGCTGAAGTTCAGCTTCCCCGAGCTCTGCCAAAACCCAAGAGTACTGTGTGTGGTGCCTGAGAGCCGTGGCTCTGGACCAGGGGCTACTTCCCCACCTCACAGGAGGATTTGGCAAAATCTGGAAACAGGTTCAGTTGGCCCCCTGGAAAGGGATGTCACTGGCGTGTAATGTGGGCCAGGGAACTGGTAAGCATTCGACAGTGCACAGACAGCCACCGCCACCTCACGCCACACACCACACACACACCACACTCAACACACACACACAGCTAGCCCCAAATGCCCACAGCACTGCTGTTGATCAATTCCGGGATGGACTCTTGGCTGCAAGTGGTAGCACTTCAATTCCCACTTGCTCGGCAACAACAAAGAAGGGGGCGTGAGCCCTGAAGAGCACCTGTACCTGCTGCAGGCAAGGGGCTGCCGTGGACAGAAAAGGCCACCTCAGGAAGGACAGGCCACTTGACGCCCATCGGCCCCCACTGATTTCTCTCCTCTGCTTGTTTTCCGTCTGTCCTCTTTCTTTGCAGGTGGCAGAGGACTGGCCACCCAGTTCTGAACTCACCCCTCACCGCGCCACACCCCTTCTCAGCTCCACTGGCACAAATCCCTGGGCAGGATCCCGATTGGTCCCCGGCCTAGTTGGCTAGTGCCGCTCTAAGAGAAGCACTACAAGCAGGTGGCTTTAATCGACACACCTGTTTTCTCACAGTCTGGGGGGACTACAAGTTGGGCTTCGGGGTGTTGGCTCTAGGGCAGTGGGTCTCAAGCTTTCTCATGCTGCAACCCTTTCATACAGTTCCTCACGTGGTGGTGACCCCCAACCATACAATTGTGTTTTTTTTGCTACTTCATCACAGTCATTTTGCTACTGTTATGGATCGTAAGGTAAATATCTGATATGCAGGATGTATTTTCATTGTTACAAATTGAACATAATTAGACATAATTAAATCATAGTGATTAATCACAAAACAATATGTAATTATATATTGTGAAATATTTATGTATTTTCCGATGGTCTTAGGCAACCCCTGTGAAAGAGTCGTTCGACCCCCAAAGTATGGTGACCCACAGGTTGAGAGCCGCTGGTCTAGGGGAAGTCGCACTCTCGCTCTCACTGTCTGCTCTGAAGAAAACACCTTGCTTGTCTCTGCGCTTCTGCTTCTGGGGGATTTTCCTGTGGCTTGGCATTTCTTCCCCCCCAAGGCCGCTGCTGTACTGGCTTAGTCAATATCTTTTAGATTGCAAAAGAGATTGAATTTAAAACACACCCTGCACTAATCCTGTCTCCCTAACATAACAAAGGCAACCCATCCCCAAATGGGATTATAACCACAGGCAGAGGTTAGGATTCACCGGGCACATATCTGGCGGGTGGATGTGGGGGGCAGGCTGGTGGACGCCACGTTCAATCCATAGCAGTCCAAAACAAAGACACAGACCTCACTGCTGTTGAATTGATCCTGACTACAGTGTGTCAGTCCGGGTAGACTAGAGAAACAAATTCATTGCCACTCACATGTGTATAAAAGAGAGGTTTCGATGAAGGGTAAGTGTGCATTAAGAAAGCATCCCAAGCCGGTCCAGTCCAAGCCCATAAGTCCGATATTAGCTCATATGTGCGATACCAGTCTATAAAGTCCTCTTCAGACTCATGAAACACACACAATGATGCCAAATGCAGGACCATCACAGGCCAGTGGGTAGAAAGTATTTGGATCCAGTGGTGTTGTAAGCATCCCTGTGCTGGCAGGGGTCTCTACGTGGGTTCTGCAGCTACAGAGGTCTGGTTGCATCAGGGTAGGTCCACGTGGCTTCTCGTTCCCAGGGCGTAGCGCCATGTGTTCTGCCAGTAGAGTCTCCAAGGGAGTGAGCAGAGAGTGTCTTCCGCCTCTAAGGAGGAAATACAGGAGTTCCCAGAATTCTCAGGAGAAGCCCATGCCCACACAGAGGCCTCACCCAATTGACAGACCAGACTCCACCCCTTCACTCAGAAGCCTCTCAAGTTCCAAATTGACCCCAGCTTGTGTAACTACCACCTATGGCGACCCTTAAAGGTAGCACTGCCCCTTTGGGTTGCCAGACTTGGATGTCAAGCTCACTTCTGAGCCAATGATCCGGCCGGCGAGGGTGAAGTACGAGACAGCCATTAGCCTGGCCTGGAACATGCCCACCTCCATGGCTAGAGGGATAGAATCTGTTTCTTGACAAGAAGGGAGCCGTTCTGCACAACTGAAAACAACCGCCACTACAGCATGGAATAACAGAGGGGGTCGGGCGCAGGTGCCTGCATGCTGCTCCTGGCGTTGCCTCTAACTTGCAGTGAGATCTTGGGCAAGCCCCTTCCCGTCTGTCTGCTCTCTGCTTTCTTGCCTCTGCAATGAAAAAGAAGACCAAAGGTCAAATGGCTTTTCCATCCCTCACCTTTGATAACTTTGGGTGCGTGGTTAAGTACTAGTCACCCAGGGTGCAATACAGCACCAACAAAACACACATCATTCCTCTAGTTTCCACTATCACGACCCAGGTCTACCTTACAAATCCAGCTAGACCAGAGTACACACATTGGCACAGATACGAGCTCTGGACACATGGAATTCAGGACACATGAACTCCTC